CTTGCAAATTTAGCATCACTTTTCCTCGTGTTTCCACGCAACAAGTTTTCCTATAGCTTCTTATGACGAGGTTACTCGGGTAGCCTACTTTTAGAAACAAGATACTGCTGAGTTTTTTCTCCTTATGAGAAAGCAAAAAAAGTATGTTTTATTCTTGTAAAATCCTCAACAATTCAACCAAATTCGTACTTGTGGAGTTCCTGGAAGGTTAAGGTGAAAGGCTACCAAATTTGGAGGATCTTCTGATAGACGTAACTTATAAGGGAGACAGCTCTAGGGTTTGAGAAGTGGTAGATAGATGAACAGAGATTAGGAGATCCTACATACTATTGTATCCCCAAAGTTACTGTAGAAACGGAAAGACGAAGGCAATATTCGAATGCGCAGTCATTGAAGGATTGACCAGTGACCAGTGAGTATTTGCTATTGAAATACCATTAAAACATTATTGATTCGTCGGAGGCACAGCTGAACCCACCCAAAGTGAGATAATGAGAATTTGCGAGGCTAGTGCTCAACTGGAGGTCGTTAAAGAAGCAGGGATACATGGGAAATACTACATATAGAACTGAGCTGGAAAAGAGAAAGGAGGGGGATATTTCTAGGAGCACTTGTCATAAATGTCTAATCCACTTCTACACTTTTTGTCCTTTTCATGGTGAATATTAATAATTGAATTGGCATTGACGTCTGAAGGAGGTGGATTAGTACACCCTGCTGGGCTTAGATTTAACAGATAACGGCGCCAAAGAATTTTAGGAAAAGATGTCGCTGGGGAAAAATTTTGGTGATGGAATGTGCGTTGTGTTCACAACCTAAATACCATGTAAACACTCATTTTGTTCCACTACTAAATCAACGAGACGTTATTGAACCGAGAACTGAGATGAGATCTTGAAGGGAATGAATGGAAGGACATTGAACAAACAGCTACGGAACAAACACCTCAACTCCTTCAATGTGCAGACTTTCTGTCACCAGAACTCAGAAATAAACGGTGCAATTGAAAGTTTAGAAGGCAAATGCAAGAAGAGTATGAGGACGAATGTGCAATATAGCAAATGCACTAATACATGCTTGATTAATGTTTGATACACGCGCTAACGAAAAATGCATATATTAAATGGTCAAATGTAAAAGAAATTGATAAGCTCTACCAAACATATCTCACCTGAAATGGTTGTGGACATCTGACAAAACGTAGAAAAAACTGCAGCAAGACGATCATGACTTCTATAGAAAATTCGCATCCGACTTGGCAAAATTACGAATTTTCCTTAATAGAGGTAAATAAGATAAAATTGCGGATAAAAAAGAGGCGCGAGACATGAAATGGTCGGAGGAATTTAAAATGAACAAAGACAGTATATTCTTGCCTGTACGCTAGAATGAATCCAGTGCAATCTGTTGGTAATCAAGAGCATGCATAGGCATTAGCATACCTCAACAAGCAAATGCAGACATTTATTAAAGAGCTGAAGACATCAATAGGCTTAGAATTTGACGATGATGATGATGTTCTCGATTTGAACGTTACTTACAGCGCAAAATCGACATTGGTCCGCTCAGATTTCATTATATGTTGAGGTACCCATATGGCTGTGGTGTAAATGAGAACCGCTGGTCTCGATAAAGTTGGGCAACTCGGGAGCTTTGTTGCTCACTATGGCACTGACAGAGGAAATTTTGGGCTGCTATGGTAGCTCGATAGCGAAAATACCAGAAGCGCACCATTTGATTTGCTAAGTTTTCGTGTTCATGAAGAATTTTGTTGAGCACTGACTTTTCCAGCATTGTTTTCCTAGCTTAGACATCAATGGGAGTTTCTAGAAAGCATGAAAGCTATGCAAATAACTTATAACGGTAAAAATAGGTTATAACTGTAATTCTACAGTTTCACTCATAGCGGACTTGTTTGTTAACGTTTGTTTTCAGTTCTATGACTATAGCGGTAGTGACAAAGAAAAGGCTCATCAAAATGGCTGTTGTCGCTACCGTAGTGTGATAGCCAAACGAATGAGGCAAGCATTGACGATTCGCATAATTCTCCTAATTAAAGGCGACAATAGAAATGCCTTCTGGCAAAATACGAAACATCCGCACGATGGATGAATTCAACTCAAACATACCAATTAGTGATGTCCTCATCAAACAATGGCGAAAAGTGCATAATTGTTCAACATTTTTAGTCTCAGAAGAAATGCACCTATGCTTTCTCATTCATAGATACTTTCTGGGGGTTAAGAAAGTGCATCTGATTTTGTGCGCACTTTAAATGGGTTTTTGCATAGGACGAAAAGAATGACTTTCCTCAGAGTTATCGAAATTTGATTACGGTGAGTTATCTCTTTATCAAATATGTAGCTGCATATATCAATGGATCCCTTATACCATGAGGCATGCAATGTAAATATAAATAATAAAAATAATATAAATAATATAAATAATAAATAAATATAAATATTATAATATAAATAATAAATAAAGCACAGAAATGATTTTTTATTCATACTGAAAAATGTGAAAAGCAAAGATCTTTACGGAACTTTGGATACTCACTGATTTAATGAAATTCAAAGCAT